CAGACTGACTGACAGCGAGGGCCAGAGGGCCATGCCCAGCCTTCCCCTTCGCTGCCGTGGCACTGCAATAGCAAGGTCCAGGAGGCCAGACCGACAGTGAGGTCCGGAAGTCATGCTGCTATGGCACTGCTTTCCTCCTGAGGGGAATGACGGTGCGGCAGCAAAGGAGAAGGATGAGCGCGGCCATCCGGACTCACTGTCGGTCAGTCTGTCCCCTTGGACCTCTCCTTTGCTGCCGCAGCACCGTTCCCCTCAGAAGGAAAGCAGCGCCGTGGCAGTGAGGTCCGGAAGGCCGTGCCTGGCCCTCTCCTTTGTGGCACAGCACCATCCCCTCAGTTGGAAAGCGGCACCACAGCAGAGAGGTCCAGAAGGCTGTGCCTGGCCCAATCCTTCGCAGCCATGCCACTGTTCCCCTCTGGAGGAAAGGGACACTGTGCCAGTGAGGTCCAGAGGTCCGGCGGCCTGCGCTCAGCCCTCTCCTTCGCTGCCGTGCCACTGTTCCCCTCAGAATGAAAGGGTTGCCGCCACAGTGAGCTCTGGATGGCCGTGCCCAGCCCTCTCCTTCGCTGCCGTGGCACCGTTCTCAGGAGGAAAATGGCGCCATGGCAGCGAGGGATGGAGTGGGGGCACCCACTGTAGCGGTCCTAACCCTGCCACACGGGGAGGGCCCAACTGGGTGTCACCCCGCTTCTGGGGTGTCACCCAGTGCTTGCCGCACCACTACACTATGACGGATCTCTTCCGGCAGGCCTTCCCGGAATAACTGCCCGGCCATATGGAGGAAATCTGCTGCTCTCACTTTTCTGGCTGCCATGACATGTTTGCTAATCGGTTTGTATTACATTTTATGATTAATCTGATTTTAATTCTATAATAGTTTAATTTAGTTTTAAGGGGTGGGAGGGTGGGGGTGGAGGGCGTGAGGAGTTGGAATGTTTTAATTGTTGCATTTTTTAATTTGCTGTAAGCCGCCCCGATTGCTGAGCAGAGGGGCGGGTTATAAATAAAAAAGTATTATTATTATTATTATTATTATTATTATTATTATTATTATTATTATTATTATTATTATTATTACACCCCCCCTTGTGACACCACTGCTGCCTCTCTTGCTTTCTTTCACCAAACAGGCTGAGAGAAGAGGCAGCAGAAGAAACAATGTTGGTGGGGTTGGGAATACTTGAAGCTGTGTGGGGAAGGCATGTATCTGGGGTCAATTCTTGGAAAGGGTCCTTCGCCTCGGAGGGGCTCCTGTAGTTAAAATCTCTCCCTTTCCCATCCATGCCAGTCTCCAGTCCAGAGTATGTGGCCTCTGCAAATCCCCTACAGCCGCTGCACTGGCTGCACCCCTCATTCCTCAACAGGGAGAAG